AGTTGAAGCAGCAGTGAGCAAATCATTTATCATTTTGATGCTATGATTAATTTTAGAGAGTTGCACACTTGAACTTGAACTTGACACCTGCCATTGATAAGTTAATGGCTCTTGCATTCTTCAGTCACATTTAGGACGGCCTCTTAACTATTTAAATACAAAAGTAAAAATACTACAAGAATTAGAAGACTATTAGAATTAGTTTGGCATATCAATTTATTTCTCCACCTCGTGGCACCGGAACGAATGGGCGCTGTTCCAAGAGGCGTTGTTATTTTTCAAGGTTTCAATAAAAAACAAGTCGACAGATACAGAAACTTCGGAAAAGGCGGTGACGTCACAGGTTTTAAGTGCCAATACCAATACATTGTGGCACTTATTTGCACAGATGTCAAAATCAAACACAAATTTCTTTGCGATGAAGTAATTGCTGGAGAAACGGTTTTCACGGCTCTGATTTTCAAAGAACGCCCATCAAGATGGCTATCTCAACTCAATTCTAATGTTAAGGTGGGACAGTCCCTTTAAACACTTATAAACTTATAACATAATAAACTTATAACACATAAAACTAGACTTACAACACACCAAGTTAACATCCATTGTAATTTTAAACCCGGGTCCCAAAGGTCAGCCGTCAGATCATTGGGTCAAGTTAAATACCCTTGGCTATAATAAAAATACGTTCGTGAGAATCCTACATCCAAATTGCCGTAAGTTTGAAGGCATGTAGATTTCAATATCAACTATCTGCACCACCATTTCGTTCATTTAACATTTTTATACCCTTGACCTGAGGTCAGGTCAGATTCATATCGATAAGTGCAGACGCCTCCTACTTTGAGCGCGCCAAAATTCACGAGACACTTTTCATAAGCAGGGCAGGTCTATCGATCACACCTGCGGCTGATGACCATTGACCAGCTGTTAATTTAAAGGTCAAGCGAGGTCGTACGACGTCAAATCTTTCTTTTGTCGACACTCCTGGTTAAGGCTTAGGTATTCTGATAAAAAGACTTGAGCACTGCGGATGCAATGGTTTCAACGTGCGGCCCCGGCGCGATCGCATCAACTGCTGTGAGAAACATGAAGCACTTGGGTCAGGCATCATTTTGACCTGAGGTAAATTCTTATGTGTGACCTTTTCGTGTCCAACTCAAATTACAATATCGTTACAATAACACTACAGGAATTAGATGGTTGTATTTTTTTAGCCATATCATGGAAAATACGACTGTAAAAGAGCAGCAAAAACGGTAATGCTTAGGTATATTTATTGACCTCTTAGGCCCGACGGTTTACAATAGGTCAAATTTGTCGACATACAAACGAAAGGTCGTTCAATGAACTATCGATTGCTTTTCACATCTTCCTATAGTTCTTATATGTTCACGAACGTTTGGACTGAGCTTGCATCGAATATTGGCCCCACCGGGGAAATCGAGAGAGCGGGCGTGCACTGTGCAGGACTAGTTTTCACATCTCGGGGACGGCAGGCCCGACTGCGCTCACAGTTGGTAAGAATACATTTAGGGATAGATAAGGAGAGTGCGCGACACAAGTCACGTGTGTTCCATTTTGCACCTGTGCACGTGCACCGGGCTGCTTCTATTCATCTCGAGAACAGCTGAGCCGATTGCGCTAAAACCTTCAACGTTAGGGGTCAATCAGAATGGTGCCCGACACAGGCACTTATGGTTCATTTTGCACACGGGGCTCAGGGCTGCATCCATCATATGAACTGTGAACATCTCGAGAACGGCTGAGTCGATTGTGCTCAAATTGGGTTCACTCTTAGCGATCGGTCAGTAGAACGGTCCGCACAAGCCACTTCGGGGTCTCGCATTGCACTTGCGAACGTGCATGCTCACTCTCGCGCTGGCTCGTTTGTCGCTCCTGAAGGCGCATCAAAGAATAGAACAAGCGCTGTTATATCACATAAACCATCACGAATTATGCCTCACGTAACAGATGTCAGATAAGCTTCATGGTGCGTCAAAAGTCTTCGCTTGCAGTGTTTGTCATTAGGTATACCAGACCTAACGATAAGCCCGCTAAGGTCAAAAGACATTCGATCTATGTAAGTCAGTGGTGAGCGGGGTAAATTGAATGCGTTCCTCAAAGTACCTGATAGTTACTTTGAACAGTAGTCGATGGAAATAATCAATTAAAAAGCGTTTAACTTGTACTTATTTCTCTTCTAATGTAACTTTAAGCCAATTGACGTCTTCAGATGTGAGTCCAGAGACGGAGCAATAGGTAGGTAGTAAGTGCGGGTAAGAGTACGCCGTTGGTAAGAGTACGCAACAGCCTTTTTTGTTGGTTGTAAATGAGATAGAATACCCATCTTTGGACCATAGAAGGGACTTTATATGGCGCATCTGCACAGCAACAGGCAAGCATGTTGATGCGTTTTTGTGGTCTTGGTGAGCGCTTATTTGTTTTTGACCATATACTTTTGACGCTGAGAGAGAACAAAAAATTGTGTGGTAGTCATCTGTCCACCATTTTCGCTTATTCTTCTGTATGTCACAAACAGCGCTGTCCGGGAGAGACACTCCAGGCAAGACCACCTCTTTCACCTTCCGCGACCACAGCTGGAAACGGGTAGGCGGCGGTTCGGCTATCGAGCCGCTGCTCTACTCAACAGTCTCCCAACTCAGCTGTCGCAGCTGTCTCCCGCCCCCTTTGCCCGATCTGTTAAAGCCGCGATAGTGGACGGGGCATCAACTGATCGTCGCTGACCAACGGGTTGGTGGGTGGGTGAGTTGTACCTGGGGTACTACGAAAGTGTCTCTGTCTGTGCTTTGACGTGAGTGAATGTGTGAATGCTGTGAATGTTTAGATAAGTAACCGCGGATACGGATTCTGAGCAGTAATCGCCACGCACTTTTAGAATGTGGATCGCTCATGATTGTTCAATACAATACAATACAACATGATTTAGAACATATAGGATTATGGTGTATTGTTACACCACGTCGTTTCTCGAATCTACCGATGCGTTTCCAAACTAGGATATGAAGTTCTCAATAGGTGTCAAGAGCAGCACAAAACGGTCATGCTTAGGTATATTTATTGACCTCTTAGGCCCGACGATTGACAAGAGGTCAAATTTGTCGACATACAAACGAAAGGTCGTTCAATGAACTATCGATTGCTTTTCGCATCTTCCTAGTTCATATATGTTCACGAACGTTTGAACTGAGCAGTGAGCGCGCATCAAATATTGTCCTCGGCAGGGAAGTCGAACGAGCGGGCGTGCACTGTGCAGGGCTCGTTTTCACATCTCGGGGACGGCAGGTCCGACTGCGCTCACAGTTGGTAAGTACACATTTAGGGATAGATAAGGAGAGTGCGCGACACAAGTCACGTGTGTTCCATTTTGCACCTGTGCACGTGCACGGGGCTGCTTCTATTCATCTCGAGAACGGCTGAGCCGATTGTGCTAAAACCTTCAACGTTAGGGGTCAATTAGAAGGGTGCCCGACACAAGGCACTTGTGGTTCATTTTGCACTTGTGCACGTGCACGGGGCTTAGGGCTGCATCATACGGACATCTCGAGAACGGCTGAGCCAACTGTGCTCAAATTTGGTTCACTCTTCTTAGCGATCGGTCAGGGTGGTCCGCACAAGCCAGTTCGGGGTCTCACATCGCACTTGCGCCTATGTACGGCCTTGCTTGCGAACGTGCATGCACACTCTCGCGCTGGCTCGTTTGTCGCTCCTGAAGGCGCATCAAAGAATAGAACAAGCACTGTTATATCACATAAACCATTACAAATTATGCCTCACGTAACAGATGTCAGATGAGCTTCATGGTGCGTCAAAAGTCTTCGCTTGCAGTGTTTAGTCATTATGTATGTACCAGACCTAACGCTAAGCCTGCTAAGGTAAAAAGACATTCGATCTAAGTCAGTGGTGAGCGGGGTAAATTGAATGTGTTCCTCAAGGTACCTGATAGTTGCTTTGAAGTTTGAACAGTAGTCGATGGAAATAATAAATTAAAAAGCGGTTAACTTGCACTTATTTTTCTTCCAAGGTAACTTTAGGCCGATTGACGTCTTCAGATGTGAGAGTCGGAGCAATAGGTAAGTACATACCTTCTTGTCGGGAAGCGTATTTATGACACAGACGTGAAAACATTCAAATGCGCTTTCACGTCAACCGTATATGTATGGCTGAGCTCCCTTCAAAAGGCGAAACGAAACGAATAGTGGAAAACAACATTTGCCTAATCTTGTTTGTATCACAACAGTCATTTGACCAACTTTTCAAACCAGTTTCCAAGGTCACGATCTCAAGGTCAGCTTCCAGTCCCCCCCTCCGGGGGGGGGGGGGGAGCATTCCGGTCTAGGGGTAAGATACTTGCCTCTAGAATCGGCCATCCGGGTTCGATTCCCGGGCAATGCACGTGGCATTGCCGCTACCTGACCGCTTGGAACAGCGTGAGAGTTCCGGTTAGCACCTTGGTCCACTGGATGTGGTGCTTAACCCAAACCAACCAACCAACCCCTCCGGGGGCGGGGGAGCGGAGGGGAAGGTAAATTATACAATCATGGTAGCAAATAGCGACGATAGTCGGTCAGCAAAGTCAAAATCTAAGTGAAAAGGACAAGAATCGGTCGCTGAGGCGTTATGAACTCTCGAGGCCTTAAGCGGCTGGAATAATGATTAAATGTGCTTTTAATGACATGCTTTCGAGGGCAGTGGGTCGTAAGTCAAAGTCATTAGTATCGAAAGCGGTATACGTAGACCACATGCCTACTGATTGTGATGGCTTACCGACGGGTCAGGATGCTGGTCCGCTCTTCAGTCCCTCCTCGCCCCGTCTTCAGGGCCACGGTTATCGTAAACCCCTCCGCCCAATACCCAGACGCCATCTACGCGCACAAAAAGTGAAAATTGCTCCCCAGGGAGGCTAGATTGCGGGAGACAGCCATAAAACGTGCTCGAGCGAGATAGAACGAGACGACACAGAGATTCAGCGTGGAGCTTACCAGCCATGGAGATCGGGAGGCCTCGGTCAACATAGTGCACAACTTTCAGCGATCGCTCGTTTAGCGATTCGCGCCTCCATCCGGCGACAGCTCGCACACAAGCCAACCGCGGGGCGCGGCGGCGCACACCGACTGGAGAAAGTAGCCCGACTGGCGAGCGCCGGTCCCACCGCCGTCCCGTCCGGCCCGCCGCCGTGCCGCTGTGCCAGCCGGTGACGTCACAGGCGGCAGCTGACTGCCGACGCTGGCGGCTCGCCTGCGCCAGATGTCGCGACCTGCGTCGGCCCGGTGCCCGCCGGGGTCGCGAGCGCGACTCGCGCTGCGCGCGGACGGGCGCCGCCGAGCGACCTTGTGACGGGGGGAGGGGGCGGACGCGACCCGCCGTGCGCCGGCGCGCCGCTGCGCATCGTCGCCGACGCCGTTTAATTTTATGACTTCCGTAACGAGAGACGTACTCTGGAAATGGAATAAGAGGAACGCTTTGGACCTTAGATAAGCGTTCGATCATCGATGTCGATTGTCGCGTACAACGCTGCGAGTCACAGCTGACAGCCACGTGTCATTTTCGTTTTTATCATGTTTGTAAAAGACTTGGACCATGGTAACAGTTTATCCCGCATCATGTACTTACTTAAGGGAGCCTAAGCGTTTCTCGTTGGTTTGTTCGCTAATTGTCACTTGCTTCGAATACGACGGTGCCGTTTCTGATGTGTCTACAAGTCCTATATGATTGTAGATATGGCTTGTGACCTATAATTCTAAAGTTCACCCCGGGATGGTGGTCTAGTGTAAAGAAAAGACGTCCGAGATTTAGATGATAGGTGTTCCGGTCACTAGAAGTCAGAGCTTACCTACATTTTCCTATTTCGACGCATTTTGACCATACCTATTGGCAAAATATATTACCTACCTACCTATGTTACCATATTACCTACCTAACTCGTGGAGCACAAGTGCGAGCCATAGCGCTTCGTGGAAAATCCTAAGTTGCTCTTTTGAAGCGTTTCACTAACGTGAGACATGTGTCCTTAGATTTGACCTCAGGACTCAATTACGGTTCCGAGTTCCAGCAAATAAGTTCGCCTAAAATGGTCACGGATGCGGGATGCTACGATTTTTCGTACCCGAATTCTTTTTATCCAACTGCGTCAAATGACACAAGTTTTTGGTTAGGAAACCAACTTGGATGTTGCCCTCACCTCAGGTCAAGTTGATGTCAAAGCCGCTCAATCTCATCTTCGTAGCGTCGCAAAAGATCATGTAGGATAGCATTCCGTTCGATAGCTTATTCTGAGTTTGCTGGCATTTTTCCCACTCCCCAAGTTCATTTCGTCCGAGGCTATTGTGGTGACATTATGCGTTTTAGTGAAACACGTGGTCAAAAAAAGGCAGCATCGGCCCTTCGGGGAATCAGCCATCGATCATGACTCTAACGTAGAGCTAAATTATTATTATAAATATCCGGTAGACATTTTTAATCCCAAGATAAAGGTATATTGTTTAACTCGTAGTTTCGTATTGATGAGACACTACTTGCTCTTCTTAGGCTTTTGTAACAGTTTATACCTAGCATTTTGTCAGCAATTATCACAAGAAACATTTTCCACCCCCCTAAAAGAGTCCTTAGGGGTTGTCTTTTGAAGGAAAGTATCTGGTTCCTACCGAATTAACTTAATTCAATATTATTCAATAATGTCCCTATAGTCCTACATAATAAATTGGACGTTGGTAACAGTATAACAAGTAGCCTGGTCGGTTCCAAGCAATATAGGACGGGCGGGTAGTTTCCTCCTTGGTCCTGCTGTTCGTTCGTCAGACCGCGTCACACCGTTATGAGGTGTCGGTTTTCCCCATATGGATCCCTGGAGTTACCTTGTGGTGATCACGCCATATTCAAACGGTGGCGAATATAACATTTTTCTATTCTATTTTAGAAAGCAACATAAACTGATGTGTTAGCAATTATGCCTTTAGACACATCACTGCGATCTCGAGCGATACGGGTTGCAAAATAGGTATCTAGTTTCACATGACTACATTCCTTTTAACCCGCGCCCCGCTGGGCTATTCAGCCATACGCGCCCTGCTGGGGGGGGGGGGGGGGGCAGAGTCTGCCCCCTGTCTAACTTCCGAACCGATATGGTCGTAGAAAGACGGGGAAAACGGCAATCGAAAGCTCTCAACAAAGCGGATCTTAAGAGCCCATTTTTTTTGCTTAAGTAGGTAAGAGGTCAGGTCAAGGTCAGGTCAAGGGTACAAAATGCAAGTTTCTACAGTATCGGCCTTGCACCGTAGTTGCCGAAGAATGGACTGAGACTGATTGCCCAAAATGTGTTCTTAGGCTACCAAGACAATATTTGTTGCATACAATATCATGCAAAGGTCAAGGTCAAGGTCAGGTCAGGTCACCAAAAACGAAACATACAAAAGGGCATGTGCGACACATGTTTTATGGGTCATTTTATTCATAGAATTCAATAGGCACACTCAATAAGTGATATGGACCACATTTGGATGAATTTCAGGTCGAGGTCAGGTCAAGGTCAGGTCAAGTGAGGTCAAATTTTGAAGTTGGTTGTTAAGGCCTAAAAAGGTGTCTATGTGATGCAGTTTTTCAAGACAAATCGAATGGTGCTATTTTTGTTTCCGTACGAGGTTTAGAACTTCAAAAAAAAATCATTAAAAAAATTATGTGTCATGACATAACATTGTAAATAAATCCCACATTTTTGAACCGATTCTTCTAAAAATTGGTATGTAGGTAAGTGCACATTGAACACTTCTCTGACATTTATTCTGTTTTTTTTTTGGATACACGCAAAATTTTGGATTTTATAATTATTTTCCCAAAAAGTCAGTTTTTTTTAAATGTGGGCCAAAATCCAGAATGTTCAAAAAACCGAGATAGCCATTTGATAGACAAAATAAAATCACGTATAAACGTAAGGTAATGAAGGTTTGACGTCGCTGGCGTAACGCGTTTAGAAGTTTTTGGCGAAAAACGGGAGGGGGCAGATTCCGCCCTCCCCCCGTTGGGGCGCGGGTTAAATTTCGACATATATAAAAAAATTGGAAGCTCAATGTTACCTTTTATACAAATCATTTTATTTAACTTTCTTCCCTGGTTACAAACAACAAAGTCCATTTTCAATGCTAAATTTTCACCACATCCCCCAGATTCGTGTATTTACCATACATAAAAGTATTGTAATTCAACAATTTGGTGATGTACTTGTTTTGCAATGAAGTCTCCACCGACGTCGGCTATACAATGGCCTTCCTTGACGACTCGGTATAGCGGCAGCCAGCTCATTGACTAATCAAAAACTTGATCGTGCCACCATTTTCTCGCGAGGCCGCCGTTGCCGTGCCTCCATTCAGGGTCACTCGCTGTTGCAAGTGAGGGGCGATCACACTGGCCGCACGTGGTAACGGCCGACGACCAAAGGACGTTCGGTCTACTTATTCAGTCACTGACGGACCTGATTGGCGCCGGCGCTAGGAGCGTCTCTCGAGAACAACGCAGATGTGTCAATGATTGTTACGCCCGTACGGGTCGAATCTGTCACTGACTGCATCTGCACGCAGGGAATTTTGGTCTGTCGCCGACCACTGCTGCTGTACACTTACTTACGGTATTGCATTGCTGCCATTGAACACTGCATTAATACGGAAAAACTGTCAGCTGTCACTGATCTTGGTACGGGACGGATCTGTCTCCAACCATTGCACTTCTATGTACAGTCCCACAACGAGCGTATAAACAGGCCAATGTCCGTACGGGACGGGTACGTCACAACCAATGCTTGTATACGAAACGCACATGTCATCTATCAGCACGTCGTACGGGACGAGTGCGTCATGGCGTGGGCGGCGGAACGGGGAGGGCACCGGGGCACCGTGCCCCCCTTTGATTTTGGCATTTTAACATTAGTCCTATGGGCGTTGCATGGAAAGAATGGGACCAAAAGTCGGCAGTGCCCCCCCCCCCTTAAATGAAGGTGTTCCGCGGCTACTGCGTCATGGACAATGTTAGCTTGTATTTGTATTTGTATTTGTATTTGACAGTTAAAACACTCTCCACAGTAAAATGGCTATTCTGAGTGTCGCGTCACGGCTAAAAGAAAAAAGATAAGATACACTCATCAATCACATCAAACAGAACACAATTCAAATCACACATTCATCCTTAAACACGCAAATACAACTCGGAAACAGAGCGTTTAAAAGCTCCCAGAGGGAGATGTCTAATGTCATGGGGCAGACGGTTGTACAACTGGGCTATGCTGTAGAGCAGGCGCCGCCTCCCTGCTTCGGTTCTCACGCGTGGGAGAGACAGATCAGTGTCCCGCCGGGTTGAGCGTGAGCGAAGGGAAGAGTTGGCCAGGATTTGGGAGGACATAGTATCCGGCTCTTCGGTGCAGCGTATTTTGTGGAGGAAGTTAAGAGAGTGGATTTCGTACAACTGACGGGCGGTAGGCCAGCCCAGTTCCTCTCGCACGTCCGATATGTGGTCAAATTTTCTTCGGCCGGACACAACGCGCAGCGCAAAATTGAGAACTTTTTGGAGGCGTTGTGTGTTTTTGTCCGACCCGTTTCCATAGACCGAGAGACAATATCGGACGTGCGAGAGGACCAAGGCGCTGACCACGGTTGGCAGAAGTTCACAAGGGATGTGGTGACGCACGTGGGACAGCCCAATGAGGATACCGTTGCATTTTTGGACGAGGGCCGATACGTGAGCGTCCCAGGTGAGGTGCTTGTCGAAAACCACGCCAAGGTTCCTCACCGCGGGGCCCTCACGGATCGTGTCCTCACGGAACCGAATCGAGATGGGATCCAGGCTGCGGCAATTTTGGCGCGAGCCAAAAACGATGAGCTCAGTTTTGGCTGTGTTAACTTTTAAGCCGTTGGTATGAAACCAGGCATCAAAAGAGTCCAGAATTTGTTCTAAAGTGGCGATGAGATGAGGGAGGGAATCTTTTTTGCCAGAAAGTAGAATTTGGGTATCATCAGCGTACTGCACCGACGTGCGCCCCGGGAGCGAAAAGAGGGAGGTCATTGGCAAATATTTGGAACAGGAGGGGGCCGAGCGAGGATCCTTGGAACACGCCGATAGGATTGAGTAGAGGATCGGAGAGGACTCGTTCGCAAGGGACGAATCTGTCATAGGCTTTGGATTAACTAAAAACAT